TGTATGGGGGGGGGGGGTTAATTACATGTAACCAGTTGCTTCCAAGGTCTGAAGCCACTCCTCAGAGAAATGGAAGGGGGGAACATCAAAATCATCATTTGCTTTCTAATCTTCATAAACTTTCTAGGCATTCCTGCAGACGATACCAGGCTCACAAAAAGAATGAAAGCACCCTTGTCCCACTATAGTGCTGTCATATGAAAATTGGACTATCAGACTTCCAGCTTCTGTAGATGATTAATGACCAGTGTAGCATTTCAATTATGGTGGGGCCCAAAAGAACAGAACAGAAAAGAAAAGACAAGTGATTTGATCAGCCTCATCTTGTTGGGTTTATTTTGTATCCTCTTGATTGAGGAATACCTCAAGGAAGGGACAACAACTTTGGATTTACTTTAAGGAGGGAAAGTTGATCTTAAAAAAATGTTGGATGACCTCTTATAAAGAGAGGATATCATGTAAGTAAAAGGTCCTTCTACACAGGGCAGAAAAAAGAGGGTGAAAATGAATGAGTTTTACATAATGAAGACAAGTGAATTACTTGTGGTGCCAGATTTCTGGACTTTTGGCTGATACCACTTCATACCATGCTATGGGGTATCTAAGGGGTTTACAACTGTAAGCATCCCTGACTCTCTGATGAAATAGCATTTGAGAATTTCCTACTCCTTACTTTACATTAGGAAACATGGCTGACAAATATTTTTGTCTATAAAATAAAATTAGCCTTGTCTACTTGCAGTTCTGACAAATCTCACCCTTGTAAACGGTTAAGGATCTTACGAGTTTTCACTGGACCCAACCCCATTTGTCAATGAAAGTGTGTGCATGGGGGGAGGGGGAGTTACCTATCTTTTCCACCATCACAGCAAGTGTATATGGGGGTGGAGGTGAAGACTTTGTTAAAATGTAAGGCAAAGCTTAATATAGTTATCATTATTGTGGTCTTTATATCTACATTACAATTTTGTCACCAGCTCAATATAATATCTTGAAATTCCCTTAAAATAAAAACAAGCGAGTGTGTTATGAAATTACAGCCAGGACAGATGGCCAGATCCTGTCATTGGAAATAAAAGTAATGTTATAAGTGTATAACTCCATTGGGGAAATTGAGTACCATAATAAAGTAGACTTCCACTTTCCGCAATGAAATTCAATGACTGTTGAGGAGTTTAGGGTTTAGAAAATTGAAAAATGAAACCTTTGGTTTTTCGCTGCTGTTTGATGATGTGTAGCAAGTCCCTTTATGGACTGAGGCTAACATCCAAATAGTAACAAGCTTGCAGTGAATAGAGCCCACAGAGGATAAGCTACTAAATCTTGCAATAAAAGCTGTGTGATTTACAGTAAATTCCAGAGGGCTGACAGCACCACAGCTGAGGGCATAAACACTTCTTTCATAGCTGAAGCTTCAGTCAGCTCTGTCTGCTGTGAAGTACAATTGAGCAGTGAGGCATGCTGCTTACCAGCAATGACTTTGATAAATAACTAGGAAGTCCCACTGTTGGCTTAAAACTAGAAGTTGTTCAGTTGCAATTCTGCATTTGTCCTGCTTTAATGGGTATGGAAGTGGCTTTAGCTGTAATCTGTCAGTGATTGATTAGGCCTTCCTGAATCCCTTCTCCACTCAGTTTGTAGCTCCCTGGCTCTCTCTGCAGTTAAAAAACAAAATTGGTACATATCTGATTGCCCTCTTATGAGGAAAGTAAACACTCTTAATTCTGCTCAAGTGAGTATGAGTTAAATGGCCACAGCTGATAAATTGTTGACAACAAGGCAACACAGTTTAACAGTCGGGCGCATTGGCTCGGGTGTTCTCAGTTTCACTGCCATTTAAAATTCCAATCAGCCTATGGTATTTTGTATGTGGTTAAAAAAGAAGCCAAGAAGAGAGAAGAATGTCAAGGCCTTTGATGCATGCAAAATGGAGAGGGCTCATGTAGGAGCTCTCCCTGTCTAAACTGGCCATGGCATGAATTAAAGACATGAAAATGATCTGAAAGAATCAGCTCTTTGAAAAGATGTATAATAAGATGTTGGTTTATTTATGTCTTCACAGTAATTTCTGCCTATAATGAAAAATGGACATAGGGCCAGAGCAGGAAAAAGCGTCTCAATCCTGCTTTTTCCAAAAGTGGGTTGAAACCTCACTATCCACGTGGCCCACTCCCAAGGCCAGCCAAATACGCATTGCCCAACTGCATGGCACAGTGCCAAGCTGTGGCACTGGGTAATTTTTTTGGTCGCCTCCCCACCATGCATGCACAACATCACACAAACACACCACCAGCAGCCTCCAATTACCTCCCATGTTTTGCCCAGATGCCATTCAATTGGATGGCTGTCCCTCTGATTGGCCGCATAGTCATGGGTGGAATGCTCCATCTGTACAGGGCATCGGTGCATCAGTGTGCAAGTGATACATTGCCAAAGCACAGTTATGGAGGGCCCTTATACATGTCCCCCATTGGACTGTCTGCTTTGTGTATGCTGTAATGAAATCCATAGGAGTTGTCACACTTTCATATTTGTTGTTGCTTTGCTGCAGCCCTACACTTGTGTCAGGGCATTTATATGCAGGCACGAAGATGTGTATTTTCCCAGCTAAGCCAGAGTATTCCAGCTTCTTTTTGCTCATATAAATGTCCCACCTTCAAAGCGATTAGAAGCTGCTTTATTTTGCCCATCTGTTTCACCCCCCATTGAGCGAAATCTAATGGTTAGTTCCAACTAGAGTAGATTCATTACTCAATAAAAATTACATAAGTGGTGACATACTAAGTTCCCATTGATTCAATGGGTTTACTCTAGCTGTATTAACAACTGGATTTAAACCACAATCTGCCCTGAATTTGAGGGAGAAAAACAAAAAGGGCTTAAAAACTGGTATAATCTATCATTTCTGAACACAGTCCTAGCCCTTGGTTTGACTGAGATATTTTCATATAATATTAATAAATATTATATATTTTTTTAAAAAAATGTATCTGAAAAAGAGAGGCAGTGTGATATAGTGGTTTGAATGTTGGACTACAGCTCTGAGAGACCAAGGTTCAAATCCTTGCTCAGCCATGGAAAGTCACACTCTCTCAACCTCAGAGGAAGGCAAAGGCAAACTCCCTCTGAAAAAAAATCTTGGCAACCTTGCTCAGCCATGGAAAGTCACACTCTCTCAACCTCAGAGGAAGGCAAAGGCAAACTCCCTCTGAAAAAAAAATCTTGGCAAGAAAACCCTGTGATACGTTCACCTTGTTAGAATACTGCCAAACAGAAATGCAATTTCTGTTGTATTTCAACCTACACAAGAGAAAAAATGCGACAAAGGGCTTAGGGGAAATTATGTTGTAGAAAGAGAAGGCAGGTGTAGGGATGCTTGGATACTGCCCATTATCTGAAGGAAGATGGACCTAAAGGAAATGAAAAGATGGGTGGGTGGAACAATATTAAAAAGTTGAAGGCAAAAGGAGACAAAAGTGAGGGAGAATTAGAATAATCCACTTGCAAAGCCTAGAAATAGTCAATCTGCTATTGCCCGTATATGTGGTGTATGATATTTTGATATGCATGATATTTGAAGCTTATGAACTCTTCATTGGAAAAGAAACTGTGAACAGCTCACTACTCAAGTTAATAATAATTTCCCACCTGAATGTGACAGATGAAAAGTGCCAATGTAACCAGATTTTTTAGTCACATGCAATATTAGAGAATCCAGAAGATACACTGAAGGATGAAAATGGTGACTTGAAATATGTAAAGAAAAGAAATAGTGACTTTTGGCCTCCATCCCATATGTTCAACATTATCATTGTAGGCATGATCATTAAACCAAGACAACCAGACTACAAACAACAGCAGCAAGCCCCATAGTCTTAATTAGAGAAGACCCATGGAATCAAAAGTTTTTGTAATCAGTGTATTTGTGTAAATCACATTAATTCTATGGGTCTACTCAAGTTGGGACTAGAAATTAGATTTGGGCCAAAGGGCCCAGACTACAAACAGCTTGATGATACATTAAGTAACAATATAATTCTAATTGCTAATGTGTTTTTTTAAAGATAGACTCATAGAATTAATCCTGTTTACTTAAGTATGCAATTGATTCAGTGGATATCTATTCAATCTGGGAATAGCAATTGGATTTAGGCCATGATCAAATGCTTGTTTTAAAATAAATGTTCTCAGGCTGCTGCAGGAAATACACAGGTCTAATCTGCACTGCAGAAATAATGTAGTTTGACCCCACTTTAACTGCCATGATTAAATTATATGGAATTTTGGGATTTATAATTTTCTGAGATATTTAGCCTTCTCTGTCAGAAAGTTTTGGTGCCACAAAAACTACAAATCCCAGGATTCCATAGGATGGAGCCATGACAGTTAAAACAGGGTCCAACTGCATTAATTCTGCAGTGCAGATTAGACCACAGTGGGAGATACTGGGGATAGACATATGGGGTCATTAAAGATGCATTGCCACCAATCATGCACAAAGGGCACATACATATGGGTGTAATGAAGACGTTGAAAGTCTAAGGCTTCTATGGGATCTTTTATCCTATGTTTATGGAGATGGCTAGGGAACAGACTGATAGAGACAAAGTTTTCCAATGAACTGTAATTTATTTGTGGATTCAAACATACAAAGACACTCTAACGTACAATCATACACACAAGAACTCAAGAGTAAAGTAGTTAGCTTGGATAGGAAACAAGGCTTTCTAATGGTGATAATTACTTGAAGGAGACTGCTCCAACAATGAATGAAGGTGAATAGATTCAACCATTAAGAGGAAAGGACAATGAAAAGAGCTGGAACTCTAGTCAGAGTTCACAATGGCACAGTGTCACCTTGAAATCTAGCCAGACCCCAAGGTGCCTGAGATTGGGGAACATTTATACCATTAAACCTAGCCTGAGGAAAAGAGTTACTATTGTATATCAAAGGACTCCGATTGCTATGCTTTGAAGTAGACAATTTCCAAGGAGCAGAGATGGGATGTTAATGTTATCTCATCTTCAGCCAGACACATCCTGGCTAGCATTCATAATTCCTCTAGGTGTGAATGTCCTGCTTAGCAGCTCCTAGGCTTGGCCCTTTTGATCTGTAAATTGATGTAAGTGCAGATGTAACCTTTCAGGTGCTTATGTGACATGCACAACTTGAGTTCATGGTGACAAGGGCTCTTTCAGTCCAGGGCCATGGCAGGGCCACAAAGGGGGTCTTTATATCAAATCATCCATTGTAACAGTTCCCCCCTTGAAAATTATCTGTCTTTTCAAAATGCAAATTGGACTGGTGATAATTTTCACATTGCCAAATTCTCTTCACCATGAAAATTTAGAAGGTGTCAATTTGGGGAGCTAAACTCATGGTCCAGGGAATAATCCTTTAGAAAAGCCTTCAGCTTCTCGAGAATTCTTTCATTCCTGGAACCTATTCACACTTGCATATCTATCCTAATTAAAGCAGTTCAAAGCATTGCTAATAACTAATAACCAATGTATGCAATTAATATAAAAAACAATATGCAATGATAATGAGTACTATCAAAAAAACATGACTAAAATAAGCTTATAAGTATCACAAAGTATTCAATGGACCAATGTCCATCAGTAACTCAAAGCAATAATGAGTAAATCAAATCATAATAACAAAATAAATAAGTGTAATCATGAAGTAGCAATGTCCACTATTTTCTAGAAAGTCTAAGAACCAATGTCCAGTAATAATGAAGCAACATCGAAAGGTATATTCCAGTTCATGAACATGTGGGTATTCAAGTCTATTTTCAAGTGTTATGATAATAAAAGTTCAACAATACTGTTGCATCAATAGCCATGAAGAGGCAGAACCAATGTCCAAAGTCAGATTGTGTACTGGTGTAGAAAGTGTGTATTAATATGTCCAGAAAATTTGGATGGATTTGGTGAAAGTTTGTGAAAAAGTTTGGACTTGAGTCTGAAACAGATGGACCAAAATTTTTGAATAGCATCTTGGTGTGCTAGTGGCTGAATGGACGCATTGAAGGTATGCCTCAACAGCTGTAATGAAGTCACAATCCCATTGGAGGACCATGGAGGACTTGACAATCTGTGTTCATGCAGCTGAGGAAGCATGAACAGTGTCCATGAATTAAAATGTTGAAGCTGATGACAAAAGTGGACCAGGGCACCTGGAAACTGCTTGAGTAGACCAGGGCCTCTAGAACTAGAGTAGATCAGGATTCCAGCAAAGCAGGATTGTGGCTAGCAAGCAAATGATTGCAAGGCAACAGGAATAATGAGGCGGAGCAGGAATCCAGGCAGGGAACACTTGGAGGACATCTCCAGAACTACATCTGAGGTCTAGCACAAAGTCTGGAAACAGTGTTGGCACAGATTTGCATGAATCATGGAGGATGTTCAGAAAATGCCCCAATATCATAGAAACAGCTTGTTAGACATCAGTGGAGGACCTCAGGAACGGAGGTCACCCCCTCCCCTTGCAGGACAAAGGCACCTAGGTTTTAAACACATTTGTTAGCTGACACACATTCACATAGAAGAAAGAGAAAAGGACATACCCTGGGGGAGATGGGAGAAATGGAAAAGAAATCCTCCCCATGGCTCTTGAAAAGCTAAGGAACAAAAGAGATAGTGAGTCAGAAAAGGGCTGTAAATAAACAAAAGTAATGGGTTTGTCCATCTAGGCTTCTGAAAAACATTAATATCAGGCTCAGCCCAGTGATAACAGCACTGTATATTTAAGAAATTTGACGGTGTCCATTTTGGCTGGCCCCTGCTTCCTAGTCAGACCGAGAATGATGGGAAAATATGCAAATTAGCCAACCTAAATTGCCCCCAAACACCTAAAATACAACTTATTTACAACAACTAACTACATATTCCTATCACCCACAATTGGCTGAATCCATCTAGGTGTAAAGCTAAATTTACTCACTCTAAGTTAAAATATCGTTGAAAGCAAAAAATATCCCTGTCGACCACCTCTTCATGGGTCCCAACCTGCCTTTAGTCTTGGAGACACTGCAAATGTGCTGACCCTAGCTGAAAGGCAAAAGGGTCAGCCACTGCAGGTGAATGCATCACTCCCATGGGAACATCACATGGCCTGCAGATGCAAAGGCCATCACCATGTTTTCATACATTGCAGTGCTCCCAAGACTTCAAGCCTCCTCCTCACAAAATTGGTGGGGGAAAATCTCCCACTCTCCTATACTGGTTAAATAAAAGAATTGGATTCTTCCTCCTCACTGGTCAAGGGGAAGAACCAAACAATGGAGCAGAGGGCCTCTGCAGACGGGTGGTCATGGGCTGCCCCGAGAAGTCATGGATTGGGGCTGAGGTACCCACACTCCTTGGCCCCAATGCATCCTTTTTTGGGCCCTGGAAGGAGCCCTAAAATATCGCTCCTTCCGCAAGGCACTGAAGGTGCGCCACAAGAGGCGTTGAGCACACCTTCGGCATCTCTTCCATTGCAGCGTGTCTGGATGCTGCAGTGGAAGGACGTCATCAGAGCCCCCGTCGTGTGGAGTGACGGGCGCTCTGATTACGTGTTTGGGAAGGTGTTGGAGCACCCAGCGTAAGGCTGCCCCTCCCCTTCCTCACCTCCAAGACAGTGCCAAGCCCTGTCTGCAAAGGGCCAGAATTTCTGCAGGGAAGATAACCTTTTCTGCAAATAGCATCAAATTCTGCCACCTTTCTTCTTATCCAAATGACAATGCTGATGGTTCCAATAACAGTAGCCACCTGTAAACATAAAATGCTGATTATTGGGTTAGTCAGGGTGCAGATCAGAGCCTCAGCTGTAGAGCTCCAGTCGACTTTCCCCCACCACGGTGTTTCCATTACTCTCTTTTCTTCTTGCATGACTTTAATTATGTGTCAGGCTTTCATGTCTACTACCATCTTAGTTTTCTCTTCTGTTCTTTCAGTTTTCCTGGCAATGTCACTCAAATTGGTTAGCAATCTCAGCCACTTCGATATGGGAAATTCATCCTCCAGGTGAAAGCCCTGTATTGCAGTGGAATCAATTTGATAAGGTGTGTCTGTGGCATAATCTCATA